ATGATGATACATGGTCATGATACATAATGGGGATACATGATAATGATGATGAAACATGATGATGAAGTTACATGATAATGTCCTTTCATTTTCAGCCACTTCTAACTCACCCTTTCCCAGCCGTTGCATTGAACAACAACATAAACCGTCTCGGTTTCTTTAATGCAGGCGTCGTTTCTTCTGCATACACCTGACAAAAACAAGCATTTATTACTGTAAACTTAAAGGATATGCATTAAATAGGGATAGTTAATAAGTTCAGGAATGCAAAACCTACCTTTGCTTCCTGACAAAATTCTCTCCTTGTCAAATATTCCCTACAAAACAACGTATTGGTGAGCTCGCATATRTGAAATATGGCAATTTGCACAAAAGTACAATGTACCTCAATAACAGCAATAGAAATATAAAAATACAATCAAACGCGTACGTACCTAAACCTATTAACTCCATATTTCACCAGCCACAAACCAAAAGCTGCAAATACAATGGATTTTTTCTTGTGTTTTCTCAAAGTGTAAAATCGTGGCTTTTCGTCCGCCATCTTGATTTTCCGCTGAGTGTTGCTTTATTGCGCTTGCTGGCTCATAAATTCAAATGCTACTGTCTACCACCCCCTTGTGATTACTTTAGCAATAATTATTTTGAATRACCAACTTTGAAATCTTTTTTTGCATTACTCCAAAAATTATAACCAGTATATAACCAGTATAAGTAATAATATTAAATCCAAATTTTAGAAATAATAATACTTCCGGTGGAAGTGTATTTTTACTTCCGGCGGATAACCGGAAACAAAGATGTGGTGTTTTGTTTCGCATCACATGATGCTTGTGTGACAATATCTTCAGCACCGGCAAGCGTCTTTACCCTTAACATCGACAACTATGAAGATGGCCGGTCAAACGATCTGGAGCATCTTTTTTCTCGCATGTTTATCATCCCTAACCATCGGTGAAGATGTCGTCACCAAGAGTTTCATTACTCTTGAGAAAGAACACAACATTACGGCGTGGAAGGAGGACGACTGGCTAGTGAACGAACCCGTTGGACCCCACATCATGCTCAAGCTCACTTTCGCTCTCAAACAACGAAACCTAGAAGCCTTAGAGAAGCTTTTCTGGCAGGTATCTGATCCACGATCTGAAGAATACGGCAAACACCGGTCCATTCAAGATATTGCGACTCTTATCTCCCCTTCTACGAAAACTAAGATGGTCATCAAGACCTGGCTGAGAAAAAACATGGTTGATTTAGCCAAATGTACCTCAATCATCACCGAGGATTTCCTCACATGTGAAATGCCTTGTGAAACGGCAGAGGCAATGTTAAAGGGAGCAAAGTTCCACTACTTCAGTCATACCAAAATTTCCAGGCCAGTCATTAGATCTATCTCACACTATTCCGTTCCTGAGAAAGTGGCCCAACATTTGGACTTTGTAGGTGGAGTCTTGAGATTTCCAGCGGTAAACTGGGCAAGGTCCAAGGTCGTTGAACCAACCTCACCCACTTCTGATGTTGGTATACACATTGGTGTCTATCCCTCTGTTCTTCGTAAGTACTACAAAATCTTGGACACAGTTGGATCCCACCCAAACAATAGCCAGGTAGTTGCTCAGTTCTTGGGACAGTTTTATAGTCCTACAGACCTCTCTGAGTTCTTCAAGATTTTTGGCTCTTCATTCGTGCATAGGGATAGTATCTCCAAGGTTGTTGGTCCAGACACTGGCCGTTCTGGAATTGAGGCTAGCCTTGATACCCAGTACATCATGAGCACAGGTGCAAATATTACCACATGGTTCTGGAGTACAGGTGGTTGGCATGAAAAGCAAGAACCCTTCCTTGAATGGATGGTCGCTATTAGCAACATGTCTCAAGTACCATGGGTGCATAGTATTAGTTATGGTGATAATGAAGATTCTCTCTCACCTGACTACATGAAGAGAATAAATGCAGAGTTCCAGAAGGCAGGGGTCCGTGGTTTGACAATGTTGTTTGCCAGTGGTGATGATGGTGCAAGTTGCATAGACAATAAGAAGTTTCGTCCATCTTTTCCAGCCTCATCACCTTTTGTAACAACAGTTGGTGGAACGGCATTCACAAACCCTTTCACTGCAAGCTCTGAATATGGCTATGAAATAAGTGGTGGTGGTTTCAGTAACATCTTTTCTCAGGCATCTTACCAAACAGAAGCAGTTGAGCACTACCTCAAGACTGGTCCAGACATCCCTCCTGATAGCTACTTCAATAAAAATGGCCGAGCATACCCTGATATTTCTTCAATCTGTAACCACTTTTGGGTCGTGAACAACCTTGTACCAGTTCCAGGAGTCCTTGGCACATCAGCCTCAACTCCATCTGTTGCTGGAATTATTTCCCTGCTTAATGATTTAAGATTTCAGAATGGTAAACCATCCATGGGATTTTTAAATCCATTCCTGTACCAGAATGCTGCAGCATTATTTGATGTGACAACAGGGCATAACGAAGGATGCGACCCAGGAGATAGAGGTTTTACGGCATCAGAAGGTTGGGATCCAGTCACTGGAAATGGAAGCCCTAACTACCCACTGCTAGCCAAAGCAGCTTTAAAATAAGCCAGAGGGCAGAGAAATGGAAAATACTTTGAAGACTTTTTGATTTCTATTTCTGACTTTTTCAACGAATTAATGCAATTTCTTTGTAAAAGAATCTTTACCAGCAAACCTTTGTAAGAGCTCTTTACCCTAAATGCAAGGCAGACACCATTATTTTTCTAAAAATTATAGTTTTGATATATTCAGTCACAATAAAATCACAGTTCAAGCACTTCAAGATTGTATTTTGTCTTCTTCACTTAAAATGGATTCTTAAAACAAGTGGGGATAAACTGAAAGGAAATTTCAAAACCTAGTCAAATAATTTCTAGAGGTCTATTGGGATTATATTACTAGATTGCAATTTTTTTTTATAATGCCCTAACGTCTTTTATAAATACAAGGTTTCAATGAAAGGCCAGAGAGATCAAGCTTTGCTTTTCGTTTCTCAGTAGAACTGTTTTTGACGAAATCCATGAGAATAAACATCTTGTTGGAGTCATCCTAAAAAGAAAAAAAGAAATAAAAGATAAGAATTTATATTTCCACTTAATAAGGATTAGCAATTTTAAGACTTTGTACACCCACTCTTGGTGCAGACTTGATACCCATAGATGAGTCAAAGGCAGCCCAATATATGAGAGTGGAGGGTTAAATGAAGACCCAGCATCTCTCCCAACCCCCTCTCTAGTCTCTTCCCTATAACAAGAGCTTAGATGCAGCTTAGTAAGTAGTAGAAATGGGGAGATCTGTAAATCTTACAAATAATAGCCTGTGTCCTTCTCCTACCCTAAACACCTGCTACTATGCTGTAGTTGCCACCATGAAAGGAGAAATAGTTAACCAGTTTGTAAATGTCCTCTGCTACTAATGATTCCAATAATGTGAACAGTACTATCAATTGATAGATTAACACAAAAATATAGAAACTTACTATTAAATCTGTTTTGAACCCCAGCTGACACAGCGATGGTATAAAAGTGTTTACATTAATTCTACTAACAACTTCAGCAATTTTCAGCACTCCACTAAAAGGACAAATAAGATTTTTAAAATTCTGTGACATTGAGAAACATTCTTGATCAAAGTCATAATTTTTTGTAGTCATGAAGGAAGAATATGCAGATTAATGGAGGAAATGGTGGTTACCTTTGTGAAAGTTACATTAATCAAGTTAATTTTGACCCCTAAACTTTGACACATCGGAACCAGAAGATTTCTCAAGAAATTAGTCAAAAAAGATTTTTATGAATGGATTTGTGCTACTGACCCAGGCTTGAGGACTCGGTGTGCCTCTCTTATGAAGGATTCTAGATCTGTTCCCATCAATGAAAGACAGAATATAGCAACATCTACGCTGCTGGAACTTAAGGGAACCTATTTCAAAATAAGAAGTAACACGATTAATGAAGCAATAATTGCAAGGTTTGATGTGTGCTGTGTCCCCTTCTAAAAAAAAGTACACACAGAAAAATAGTACAGTATTTGAGCATTCTTACAAATAATGATGAATTGTTTCTTGGGTGCGGAATAAAAAGAAACTTAAGCAAAGATTAAAGTACCGTAATTACCTTTGCCATATTGCAGGCTGTAACCCAATCATTCTTGGCCACCAAGTCAAAGGAGTGGACTTTGTTTGGTACTGATTGTGCTATGGCTGCATCCCCGCATCCAAAATCTGCTATAACTAATGATTTAGGCCTGGAAATTAATATAAATAAACAATTTAAAATGTATCATTTTTCCTCTCATACCCACCTCATCCCTTGGAAATTTAATTTTTCCTCATGGAAGAGGGATGGATATTTTCTGTAGCTATGCAATCGACTTCTCTACTCTGATTATCCCCACCCCTTGAAACTCCAATTACCCGCAATGGAGGAGGTAGTCAAGCATGGGAAGCATGGTTGGCATAGCGATGAGAGTGCCCAACTCTTTCCAAGGCCACCCGAGTTTGATTCCTGTTCTTTTTGTCATATGTAAGTAGAGTTGCTTGTTTGTTTTCTCCTGTACTGTTTTGAGGGATTTTCTTTGGGTTCTCCGATTTTCCTCCCTCTGCAAAAGTTGACTTCTAAATTCCAATTGGAATTCAAAAGACAAAGAGCTACTTTATGTACCTTTGCTTTATCCAGTCAACCATAACGTCAACAGGATTCACAGGCCAGTGTTCTACTTGTCTTCTGAAGCCTCGGTGATAAACATCAAACATGGAATCGTCATCTTTAAACAGCTCCAGAGCCTCGTCACCAGTTATCGTATACAGCTGTTCATTAATCCATCGGAATCTTGAGGAGTCTAACTTACTCTTTAGTTTGTCTTGCAATTCTGATTTCTTATTTGGTATTTTTCTGACCTTGTTTGTATTTGTCACTTGTAGTGATTTTTGCTGTCCTGAGTCAGATTTTGTGGCATTAATATCATTTTCCTCATTCTCTTCTTTTCCCTTTTCTTTATTGTTTCCTTTGTCGTCCTTGTTTTCTATCCTAGCTTTTTGCTTTTTSCTTCTATCTCTTCTCTTCCTTGAGCTGGTTACTTCAATAGATTCATTTGATACTGATGCATCAGTATTTTCAGGCAACAAAGAAGAAGTTTTTATCTTTTTAGCTTTTAGATTACTTGCATCCTTTTCTACTAAATCAGCTGGTTTTAGATATCCTTCTTTCTTAAAAACCCCCAGCTGTTCGTCCCCATTCTCTTCTTCCTTCATATCTGTACTTTTTTCCTTTCTTCTTTTTCTTTTCTTTTTTTTCGTAGACTCCTTCATCGATTCAAATTTACTCTCTTGATCAACATGACAAATTTTGGTTCCAAAGAGACCAGAAATAAGCCCTTCTTGTTCTGTACTCCCTTCCCAATCATCAACTTCAAACATGTCAGATACTTTGCTCAGTTCGATTATTTTATATATATCGTATTATGATTCGTGAATTACTCATAAAATTTAGATTTGAGAGAGAAATTTTGTAGGCTCAACAAGTCGTTTCGTCCGCCATGTTTGAAGCCACGAGCAAAGGATCAGCGGTCTTCGCATTGATTTAGCACCGGAGCGAGGTAAAGCATTCCTCTTTGCTCTCCATCGGCGGACCAACATGGCGGTGGGAAAAAACAAGCGACTTACTAAAGGAAAAAAGGGTGTCAAGAAGAAGATGTAAGCTTTTAGATACGTTCAAATTGAATAAACATATTCAGACGCAATTATAGCACGCTATTTTGTAACAAATAAGCCGTGATGGAKGATATATAGCTTTGATTTAAGTGGATGTTGGAAGGCTGTTCGAACACTATTTATATGACCTGGAACGCAGTGTCTGCAATAATGAGACTTTTACTGCTAAAGTTCTAATTTTAACTTTTGCAGATTTGAAATAGTTTAATTTCAAGCGATACTATTAAGTCTACAATTAGTAATGATGTGTTTTTCTGTTGTTTTTAGTGTTGATCCCTTCACCAAAAAGGATTGGTATGACGTGAAGGCGCCTTCCATGTTCAACATTCGTCAGATTGGAAAAACTGTCGTTACCAGAACCACTGGAACAAGTGAGTTGATTGCTGTGTTTAATATTGCTCGTAGATTTAAAGCATTTACCGTATTAAGCTATTTTCAAATTAATAGAATAGGTAAAGTAATATAGTAAAGTTGATTTGAATATTTAGATATATTTATTAAACTCTGATAACTATTTGGTTGACTATATGTTAAGTGTATTATTTGGTTGACGTTATCTACAGTAAAAAAACCCTCATTTACTGTAGGTGACGTCACCTGTTCAACACTGATGGTCTTCCCATCATCCAACATGGCCGCCATGATTTTTGTTATTTCATTCTCTTGAAAACCAACAATACTAAATGTAATCTGATAAACTCTTGGAAATTTTGCGAAATTTTTCCAATCTGATGCATTCTTTAGTTACAGTGGAATGGTCTTATGACAGAGATCATCCATTTTGCTTTCCCACATTTGATTGATGCTCCTCAAATCCTTATTCCAATGTGTCTAAAATATATCCGTAGTCCATATACTAGATAAGAGAGAGTACCTCTAATAGAGGTTTTGCACCATCACATGATGGGTGCTAGTAGATGGGAGCCATGTTGGAGCAATTGCAGAATACTAGGGATGAAATTGTACATGCATTTTGCGACTTTCTGGGCATTAATTTCATGCCCTGGAAGAAATAAAAGAGGAGGAGAAAATGGCAACTGCTACGCATGATAAGTATCTTAGTAGAACAAAGCATATAACTAAGTGGCTACAGCAGCTATGCATGCTACATGTCAAAAATATAAATGCTCTGGTATCCCGTGTCTAGTAGAATAAAGTACATTACTAAGTGGTTACACTGGCTATGTGTGCTACACATCAAAAATATAAATATAAATCCCAGTTTTTCTTTACTTTCTTTAGAGATTGCTTCGGATGGTTTGAAGGGACGTGTGTTTGAAGTGTCATTGGCTGATCTTCAAAATGACGAGGTTGCATTCAGGAAGTTCAAGCTCATGTGCGAGGATGTCCAAGGCAAGAGCTGTTTGACAAACTTCCATGGCATGAACATGACCACTGATAAACTGAGATCCCTTGTCAAGAAGTGGCAGGTAAAAGAATGAGACTATAATGACTCAACTTCATGTTCATTACGTGTATTTGCATAAAATATCCATACTTGCCTAATGAGGATGATTCATTAAGTGCATAGTATATCTGTATGGATTCTAGCAACAAATCCCTACATGGAGATATAAATATTTTCTTTGATTACGAAGTTTCAAGTATTCACTATTTTCCATACATATGTTCACTGGTCAAACACAAAGCATTCATTCAAACTAAAAAGGATTTAATTTGAATAATTCTTTGAAAAAAGCTTGAGGCCTCAATCAAATGCTTTGCGTTTGATCATGGAACTGATGTTCGCAAGTAGTGAACCCTTAAAATTATTTGATTTCAAAAGTTTTTAAATTGGTTTAATTGGATATTTTCTGCACTTCTGGACCCAGTTTTAAAAAGGGTGGATAGTACTATCCAATAGCGCAGCGCAACTGTGACGTCATAAAAACGAAGACAAAGGCAAAATTCGGACAAACAAAGTTTACTTTCAGCAGATAATTTTCACAGCCAATCGCAGTTGATCTTAGTTTACATTGGTTATTATTGTAACTTTAAGTAAAAATAATAAAATCGGTTCGTATAATYCTCGTAGCGGTTAAACAGAATGCAATGTTTGTCCGAATCTTTAAGCTATTTTTAGAATCAGTGCGCTGTGCTATTGATAAATTGTTATCCAGTGGATAAGCCAGTGCTGTTATCCACTAAATTCATCTGCTGGATAAGGATTTATCAGTTGGATAGTGCTATCCACCCTAACTACAGCTGGGACCTGGGCCCTTTTTGAAGCACAGTTTTCTTGTCTTGGTATTCACAACTAGATTAGCTCTAATCACTTCTGGGTTAATTGAATACCAACCTACCGTTACATGCATTGATGAACAAAACAAACAGTTCAAACTGTTATTTGTTTGAATTTTCAGACTCTTATTGAGGCCTCAGTCGATGTCAAGACCACTGATGGCTATCTTCTCCGCTTGTTCTGCATTGGCTTCACCAAGAGAAGACAAAATCAGATCAAGAAAACAGCATATGCCAAATCCTCTCAGATCAGAGCTATCCGCAAGAAGATGGTCGATATCATTACCCGTGAAATTGGCGCCAATGACCTCAAGGAAGTTGTCAACAAGTTGTAAGTAAAGACTTCCTCGAGTGAAGCTTTTTAATTGTAATTCTTATACACCGGTTGGCAAGGGGTACTGCTTTGAGCAGATTACATTTAGTAATATTTGTTATTTTGTCTCCAGAATTCCAGACAGTATTGGTAAAGACATTGAGAAATCCTGTCAATCAATCTACCCACTCCATGATGTGTACATCCGCAAGGTCAAGGTGCTCAAGAAGCCCAAGTTCGATAGTAAGTTTCCTAGTATAAATCAAAAACAAAACCTGTGTCTTACAGTATATATTGAGAGATTCTATGTAAAACTGTCTACGAATAATAATAACTTATAAAAGTCCTTCAAATTTAACACACCAAAAGAAAAAACTTTTTCTGACTGTAGTGTYAATTCTTTCATTTTACATAGTTGGCAAGTTGATGGAAATGCATGGTGATTCATCATCACACACTACCACAGTTGATGAAACTGGAACCAAGATCGAGAGAGATGGCTTTGAGCCTCCCATCCAAGAAAGTGTATAGAAAGATTTCCAGTGAATAACAAAATAAATTGTTCAATCAATGTTATGCTTTCCGTGTCATCCTTAAAGAGGCTCCTTAATAATGCTTATGTATGCAAGATGGTGGAGCAAGTCTGAAYGCAGGCATAAAATTAGTGACTTGCTTGCAGAGGCTTGTACTTTTGCAATTGCAATTTTCCTGTAACACGAAGAGTAATGGACCATTTTGACTATACGCTTGGCCACTGTATCGTCAAATTAGTCTATTCAGGATTCTGTCTTTTTAGCACTGCACTCTATGGCATACCATTTGCAGGACTCCCTGCCAGCCCACTTCCTATATTTTCTTTCAGTCTCCCATTTTTTCATTATCCTTCTACTGGTCCTTTCAGGCTTTCCCAAAGTCCATCTTCTTTCCCACTTCGTATCATTTCTTGAAAATTAATTTGTTCTGTAGCTAATTGACTGAACCTTCATGTAAAAGTAAATTTTGTAAATAATAGCTAGAGTATAAGGAAAAAGTATTTGATTTAAAAAACAGGGTCTAGACAGAAAAAAAGACAAACTCTGGAACACCAGTTTCGTGTTCGATGCATTACGGTTTTATTGAACACCACAGACTGATTTGCACAGTTTAGCCCTGTTCATAAGCTAGCTAGCTAAAGACCCCTTTCACATGACATCAAATGAATCAATTTGGAGGACAAAAAAGAAATTCAATCTCCTGGGATTTGGAAACCTATTGTTTTGTCCTCCAAATTGACCTGCATTTTTTAAGTGCTAAAATAAGTCTATATTATGTCCTCCAAATCGAGCTGCATTCCGACGTACTGCATGCAAGAGATCTAATCACCGACAGCATTAAAGGCGCGATTTACACGGAGCAATTTTCTCTGCAATTTGTCTCGCAACGGCGTTCCGATACAAGCTGCAACACTGTCTACACGGAGCAACAGAGACTCAATCGTTGCCAAAAGTAGAAACGAATTCTACTTTTCGTAACGATTGCTGGAACTTGTTTCGCAACATTTTTCAAATTGCGCTGTAGGTTACACGCTGCAATGTCCCTTGCAACTCGTTGCGACACAAGTTGCAGAGAGATTGCTCCATTTAATCTGGCCTTTTAACGCACGCCCTAGTAAATGGGCGTGCGTTACACTAATACGTTAAATTTGAATTATAAGCTGCTCTCGAGTTACTTACATTAATCTGCTATCAAGTTACCAAATCTCAACACAGGAAACCCAAAGTACATTATTGACTTATTTATTCATGTACAAATTCTAAAGCCGGGCTCCCTGTGTAATAGAGTACCATTTCTTGTTAATGAGAATACATGAATACGTAGATGAGATAAAGAATCTTAACTACCTGGTCTGAAATGGAAAAAACATTACGCCCAATTAAAACATAACTTACGGGGTCGTAACTTTCTTTCATCCACCCTCTGGGGCAGTCTGCCCTTAAACTAAACATATATGATCACGATCAATTATCATGGCGGGGGGCATCAGACGGAACTTGAGTGCTGAAGTACAGCACGTGAGAAATCGAGCAAGAACAACATTGCCGCTATGAAGAAATCAACCTTTCTGGTTTTAGTGATCTCTTGTTTATTTGCCTATGGAAGAAACAGTGTTACAGCCAAGAAGCCAAACATCGTGTTGATACTAACAGATGACCAAGACACGATCCTAGAAGGAATGGTAATCTCATTCAGTAGAGACTCGTTGAGATTGCTTTACTTGTTATATTTTCCACGTTTTCGCTGTAAGTTTTCTTATATCCTTTTCGTTTCTCAGAGTCCTATGATCAAGACCAAGAAACTTATCCAGGAAAAAGGGATTTCTTTCGAAAATATGGTAAGTGTGGATGTATTGGAGACTGAAATCATTGCATTCTAGTGCAGGTCAGCTATTAAGAATGGATTAATCAACCATGGTACATGGTAGCTCTGTTAATATTTGTTGTTTGACAAAGTTTTAGTGCAGATTCCGTATTTATGAGGGAAAAAATATGGCCCCTAATGCAGCCGTACTGTGTTTTCCCATAACTATATCCGTGGTGGTGTATGCGATTGGATAATTTGGATAACACTAGCCCAACACTAGCCCAACACTAGACTGAAGTGTTTTGCCAGCGGTTTAGTGTTCCATGGTTGTGCTGCAAATCAGTTGTTGAATGTCGCACAAAATGAACTCCTTCATCCCTTTAGAATGAAACCTAGCCAAATTAAATTGGGTAGAAGATGATAATATGGGGACAACCTGGTTTTAACTCCCCGTCGGTAGTACTACATCTATAAAACAGTGATTAAGTTAGTGTCATCCTTATCTTTATCGTGCTGCGTAGGTTCCCCGGAAGTGTTGCGTGACCATCCTTTCAAGAAGTGTCTGGGTGTAACACATCGTCCAATTTCCCCCCTCCCCCTACAGTACCTTGCCTACTAGTGCGCCTAAGGCATCAAATTTCATCTCATTAGTTTGTAACAAGCCCTCTTTGCTGCCCAAGTCGGTCAAGCATCCTGACAGGAATGTACACACACAACCACCACGCCATTAACAACTCTGTTGAAGGCAACTGTGCCAGCAACAAATGGCAACGAGAATCCGAAAAACAGACCATGAACACCTTTCTTAAAGCTATGGGTTACGGCACACTCTTTGCTGGGAAGTACTTGAATCAATATGGTATCAATGAAACAGGGGGTCCTCAGCATGTCCCCCCTGGATGGGACAAGTGGTATGGACTGGTTGGCAATTCCAAGTACTACAAATATACCCTTTCTGTGAATGGAAAACCTGAAGTTCATGAATCAGATTATAAGAAGGACTATTTGACTGATGTGATTGTAAGTTTGATAACCATGATTATCAAAAATGACCTCATTTTTATATATACACATATTGATGACGTCAGGGGATAGTTTTACCAATAGGACGTTTGCATGATGGCGTCATTGACCTCTACTACCAGACTCCCTTGCGCACTTTCTTTTGTTCAGTTAATTAGCACCAACTGTCTTACTATTCTCATGAGGAAATACATGTTTAAATAAGAAAGAAAATTCACGAAGCATCTTGGTAGTGTGAGTCAAATGACGCCATCATGCAAACGTCTTATTACATTGTGCGAGATTTCTTTTTGACCACAATGACTGTTTCCGATTGACGGCATCATCGCGTTTTATAGAGCGTTTTCACGTGACGTCACAGCGGCCATGTGTACTAAGACAATTCATTTTCTATCCTCCRGGAATTGAACTCTATTTTTAGGCAAAAACTGTGCAGAAAGTTTCTATTGTTTGGTACACCAATATGACTGCCCTGTCACGTGAGTGAAAACGTTCCATACGCCACAGCGATCGATCACATATAATTTTAGTGCGTATTCAGCCTTCAATAGCTGTTATTACAGTTGAACCCACAATGAGAAACATTTCTTTTGAATCTAGTCCAGGTACGCTACAAGCTTTATTCAAAGCCGAGCGTCGTCATCTTCACCGTTTTTCATGTTCCTGTCAACGCCTGCCTGTCATGCGCCATTTACCCCAGCCCCACAGTACAAAGACATGTTCAATACAAGTAAAGCCCCAAGGACGCCAAGCTTTGATGTAGCAGGAGGGAAGGTAATTAAAAAGACTTATTTCAAGGAATTAGATTCTTCATGAGAGGAAAATGTTCACCCAGATAGGTGGTCAGTTTTATAGCTGCCATCGTGGTTCAGTTTAACRATCAATATGTCACTGATGATCCAACATGGCCGTCTCTGTCTTAGATATTTCATTGATTGGAATGATTGCAAACGTCCTATGTTAATAATTGCATTGCTGGTCGGTTTTGTAGCCGCCATCTTGGTTAAATGTAACGAAGTATTTGTCAGTAATCAACCAACATGTCTTAGTCCAATAGCGCAGCGTACTGATTCTAAAAATAGCTTAAAGATTCGGACAAACATTGCATTCTGTTTAACCGCTACGAGGATTATACGAACCGATTTTATTATTTTCACTTAAAGTTACAATAATAACCCATGTAAACTAAGATCAACTGCGATCGGCTGTGAAAATTATCTGCTGAAAGTAAACTTTGTTTGTCCGAATTTCGCCTTTGTCTTCGTTTTTATGACGTCACGGTTGCGCTGCGCTATTGCTTGATAAATACCTATTATGAATGATTAACTCCCATCCCTGCCCCCTCTTATTATGTTCATGGATAAAAAAATCAATATACGTATCTCTTATCGGTATATTTGGTTAGTTTAGACCAARCACTGGTTGATAAGACAAACCCCACATCCCATGGCGAAATCGTCCATTGATTTCTTGGACAATGCGTTTCGGAACAGGTATGTGTATGTTTACCAAGGGTACGCCTCTTGTGTTGGGGCACGTAGTACTTAATTCTTGTTATGACTTAGGTATCCACGGTTCGAGATTTGAACATTGCCACTTGAACTCCGGCTTTCTGTGCAAAAGTTGGTCCATTAAGTCTTTCCTTCCCTCTCGTCCGGCCCGTCTCCTTTTAGCGTTACAACCTCGTTGCGTAACGCAACATATCTTTTTGGTCTGAACCTCATTGCCGCACAATTAAGTTATACTATACGCGTCCCTCTTCCCTCTTTCCATGTGTCATGGCAATCATAGCCTGTGCCCGTTTACAATTAGGGTTACATTTGGGCTGCGAGAAGGCGAGCTATGATAGTCTATTGCGCTTGTTCAGCTTTCATTGCTTCCTTTTTCGTTGCTCTAGGTTGCGCACTCTTCTGTCGGTCGATGATTTGGTAGAGCAAGTTGTAACAATGCTGGACAAGACGAAACAACTTCAAAATACCTTTATCATCTTCACATCTGATAATGGCTACCACCTCGGTAAGTGAACAATGAATTGCAAGGTTACTTCATGCCATTTGTCTTTCCAAAGTTCAAAAGAAAGATTTGTAACGCTCTCGTAACGCATATGATTGAATGGCTGAGTTGCAAATGCAAGACGATGCAGCCTTTTAAAAATTTTGCAATGATTTTGTCCCCAAATGTAGTCGCAAATGCGGTGCAGTGTTGTTTCAATTTTGAATCCAACATCAGGTTTAATTCAGTTCCTGTTAGGTTACCCCGTGGTACGATATAAGTAAGGATCAGTCAAAAATGGATCAGTCAATACCGTCAAGTTGTTTGCGCGCAAATCTTATTGTAGTCTCCCCCACAGCCGCTTTCAGTGTCGTCACGCAACGCTTTCTCCCCTGAGTAGCTACTAGATAAAGCGTTGCGTGACGACACTGAAAGCGGCTGTGGGGGGACTAATCTTATTGCGACAAGTTTTCACAATCTGCGCAGATTGCGCAGTTTTATTCTAACTTTTATTGTTTCCCTTTCAGGTCAGTTTTCTCTTCCTGTAGACAAAAGACAGCTCTACGAGTTCGATATTCGAGTTCCGTTCCTGATTCGAGGTCCAGGATTAAAAGCAAACAAAACCCTTCAGGTATTTTCTTTCTCGTTATTTAACCCTTTCTCAATTTTAACCTCAATGTCATATCTAGAAAAAGGTAATTAGTTTCCCGGCGTATTCACATCAGGGCAGGAGGAAAGATCTCTCCTCTCGCCTTGATTTAACATGCACTTCACGGCGTATTCACATGCACAAAACGAGAACTACTGTTAACAAGCACCTCTTATATAATTATGGGACTAAAAGCTTGTCAGAAAGTCAGTTCTTTTGCCAAATCAGCAGCCTTTTCGGATTTGGAAGAGGTCATCAACAGACCTGATATTTAAGTAATTATGCATGAGTAAGAGTTGATAGACCTTATTGGATGGGGCGTAATTTTTCTTGAATTTCATCTTGATACAACGGTTGTATGAGAAGACGTGAATATATTATGGATACAACTCAAGCAAAGAATCTTATATCTCAAGAGAATTACCTGTGGTCTGAAATGGGAAAACGTTACGTCCAAGCTAAAGAGAGCGAGGTCTGTTTCGTAATATCTTATTTGCTTTACTATAGAGTCCGATTCTTAACATAGACATCGCACCAACTATAATAGAATTAGCTGGAGGTCAAGCACCAAAGACTATGGATGGACGGTCCATTGTACCATTACTGGTAAGTGCGTCATTTTAATAGACCCCTTGCATGTGACATCAAAGCAGCTCGATCTGGGGGACAAAACAAAAGAATTCCAATCAACTGAGAATCGGAACCTATTGTTCTTGTCCCCCAGATTGAGCTGCATTCCGAGGTGCTGCAAGGGGTCTATAGCCCACTTACGAGATAAATTCAATGTGAGAGTCATTCGTGACAGAAGAAGAGAATTAATCTAATTTAGCACGTAGCCTCGTACTGAAACCTTTGTGTGTGACAAGCGAAGCATATCTCGGAAGTGGGCGAGTTCAGCCAATGTACTTAAAGAAAAGAAACAATACTCAAGGGAATGAAACGTGGTATTTGACAAACCTTTATGCTTTAACTGAAAAGCAGTGTTTTAGAACTCCGCGTTACTGTGCAGTATAATACCATAGATAAATTATTGAACTTTCTCATTTTCTCATTTAAAAAATAGAATGATTCTAATGTCGAAGAAAGCCAAGAGGACAACAAAGTCAAAGTTCATGTAAGTTTTTCCACCCCTGAGCCAAAGATCTCCTTTTGTAAACTTTCTGTTTGTCGTTTTCATACAACACTTTCATTTTTCATTTTTTCATTTTCCATCCAAAGTGTTTGGATTCTATTCCTATCCTCTATGCATCCATGGAATAGTTATATTTCCAGACTTTAGGCCAGATATATTAAGAATGCTTTCCGGTAGAGTCCAAATGATTTGCCAGTCTTCTTGTCTAAAAGTATTGGATAGTCAGGAAAGTTTTTTTTTTTTCGTTTTTAGGATGCTGCTGTGAAATGGCGTGAAGACTTTCTAGTGCAGCATTCAGGAGAAGGCAAAATGAAAGTCGAGGGCTGCCCAAAACTTGAACCAGGATTTGAGGTGAAAATTAAATATCATTCATTCCAATCAAAGGTCCCTGGAATTTCAGAGTGTTTGTATTGTTGAGTTTGTGCTTACTTTACCGTTGGTATTTGTGAATATTTGGACACTGAAATGAGGCGCCTCATTTCCATTTCAGTGTCCAAATATTCACAAATACCAACGGTAAAGTAAGCACAAACTCAACAATACAAACACTTTGAAATTCTAGGGACCTTTGATTGGAATGAATGAATATTCATAGTAATTTCATACGAAATTCGATGCTAACCCTGTAGAACAAAGAATTCGACTGGGGTATTGGGCAGACGAAATGATTATTCAGAAGGAAAGTAACAGGAATCTTTTCTATTTTAATTATGCAATTTCAGAGTTGCGAGCCTGATTGCGTCTGCGAAGATACCTGGAATAACACTTATTCCTGTCTCAGAAAACTGAGCAGTTCTCAAAACTTTATGTTTTGTGAATTCCGTGATAAAGAGGTACGTTCGTCAGTTCATCTCGAAGCTAGTTGCGCAACTGAACACTACTGAGTCATGGTGCAACCGATATCTTAGAGTTACAGTGGCGTTGCATTAGCAAATTTCCTTGCTGCAGCGTCGCGGCATGCGCAGTCGTTGCAAGAAATAGAACCGAATTCTACTTTGCGCAACGGTTAGCGGCAACAATTTCAACACATTGCCAAGTGTAAGACCCCTCTTGCACCTAGTATCACAAAGATTATGACAGCCAATACTATTTCATTTGGGAGAATGAATTATTTGTGACACACGTTTTATAAAACGTTGCCAAATGTAACGTAGGTGCAACTGCATCCTTTATCGCGCAACAAAATTGCGAGACAAGTTAAGCTACAAGGATCATTTCCTAGTGTCAAAACACCTTTACGAGGCTTATAGTCGGCTTTTTGTCAGAGAAAGTGGGATTTTCAGTGACAGAGATTTTCTTCTTTTTGCCACTTGATATTCTCATGAATAAAAACATTCCTCGCGCGCGGTGCGGCAACATATTGAAACATCTGTAATTTATCTTTCAGTAATTGCTAGAGGTTTTTGGAACATCTTTGAGGAGGAATTAAATATCTTACTAATGAGTCAAGTTCTCCGTCTACCATTGCGGCAAGAGATTATGAACTACACTTGATTGCGGCAAATGACATTGACCAACATATCTTTAGCAAGCCTCCATGAAATAGGGCTTCGAACAGCTTGCTGTACCGCGTAACTTTATATCATCTCACATTAAAGTATTTTTTTCTAGGTTTTTATGGAATATTATGACATGACAAAGGATCCTCACCAGCTGTCTAATATTGCTAAGAAGGTGAACCCTCGCGTTTTAGTTCCGCTACACAAAAGACTAGAAGCATTAACGATGTGTGCTGGTGATACATGCCGACAAGAGGACGACAATGATGATGACACTTAGCTTCTTGCTGAAGCTAGTGGCTCAATCTCATTCGTTTTTACCCCCAGGGCTTTAGTTGTCTGGTGTTAGTATTTTCTCCCGAAGAGGAGAAATATAMAAGCTTAATAATAATCAGATAATTGAAATTCAGTGTAAAAACCTCAAAAAGAAAAATTAATAAAGTCTAAAGGTAAAATGTGGAGGACCTCGGCAATCAAGTTTTAATATTCTCGTAAACCAATCCTCTCCCCCACGCGACCAATTTAGCTAGAAGGGGTGGTGTAAATTTTATTTCTACATTGTGGGGGTACTTATATCTTTTAATATTTGTTTTGTAATATCCTTTTAATGATCATTTCTTAACAAGGCTGTTGGTCAGTGAAAAAGAAGTGTTAGACGTCTGATCGATATTGGTTCTTTTTCATTCTTTGTTCTATTCTCAATTTCCAAGGCAACCCTTTCTGCCTGTCTATACGCGTCATTAAATGCTCAGTCAAGCTTTAATTTTGGGTGAAATGTTCAAAAGCGACTGAAATAATTGAAGCTCGCCCGATATACTGTAATATCTAATGCATGCAGTTGAATGAAGAAATGACGCAGGGTCGAGAAGGAAGGAAGGAAGTATAAAGTTTCGCTCCCG